CGTCGTTGACGGTCATGTTGATGTCGAGTTTCGACTTTAAAACTAATCCGAGCTATATCTGTTACGCAGATTCGGAAGACCAGATTTTGCCCTCATTATCATCATCAAGCTCGCGACGAGCATCGTCTATAGATCATGGTGAGGTAGATTTAAATATGCCCGTTATCGATTCTCCTACACATCGACCACCGTCATGTCAACTCATTCAAACTGAAAATTCAATCGAACCTGGACCTTCTACCAACAATGAAAAGGATCCAAAAAATTCTTCAAACCAGGATGAGGAAGTGGAGTTAGAGGATGAAATTTTACAAATCCTGGGTGAAGCCCCACAGCCAAACTTATCGCTAGGTAAAAATATACATAAAGACATTGCTTCACGTTGGCAGAATATCTTAATAAAAGGACTACCTAGAGAAATAAAAGAGGGCTTACTCAAGAAATATTTAATCCCTAGTAATTGTAACCTTCTTGTAGCCCCTATACTGAACCCCGAAGCTAAAGTTGGTGTGCCGGATATTCTAGCTAAGAGAGACAGTACTTTGTTGCAAAAACAAAATCAGATTGGGGTCGCAATAGCTGCATTATCACAGGTCTCAGAGTTAATTTTAAAGAATGAAACTTCTAAGCAAGCATTGCTTCAACCTCTTAGTGATGCGTGTCGCATACTATGCGATAGCCACAATATTGAAACCAAAACACGACGTAGCATAATCATGAGTTCCATCAATACAAGTCTGCGTGAGACACTGGCAACAACTGACCGTGATAAATATTTATTCGGGGAAGATTTAACCGAGAAGTTGAAAGTTGCAAAAACTGTTCAAAAAACAGGAGAATCATTGCTCAAGGTCAATCCAGTCGCATCTACTAGCAAAACTAATAACCCTAGGAATGCTCCTAAAAGGAATTTAAACTTCAGGGGCCCGATCCAAAGGAAACCACCAATCAGAGCCAGCGAACCATCGTCAGCGAGAGGACGGACAGCGGCGCGTTACCCACGTGCCACAGCCTACTCCCGCCATCCACCACCTTCAGCAAAAACCACATCACCGACCAGGAAGAACTATCGGCGATGAATTCTCAGGTAATTCGTTACGCTGGCCGCTTACAATGTTTTTATTCACAATGGTCACAAATTACGAAGGACCCAATTATATTATCGTGGATTAAAGGATATAAAATTCCATTCAAATCCACTCCTATTCGTTCTGATAATCCAATTACTTTACCAAAATCAGAACAGGAGCATATTGAATACACTAAAGCTATTCAGAAGTTATTATTAGTCAATGCAATATCAAAATGCCATCATGAAGATGGTGAATTTATATCGAGTGTATTTCTTGTGCCTAAGCCAAACGGTGAAAATCGTTTTATTCTTAACCTAAAATTGTTAAATAAATTTATAGAAACCAGTCATTTTAAAATGGAAGATTATAGAACTGCCGTTAAGCTAATTACCCATGGTTGTTATATGGCTTCAGTTGATCTCAAAGATGCTTATTTTTTTGTGAGCATAGAAAAATGTCACAGAAAATATTTACGCTTTAATTATAACGGTAATCTATACGAATTTAATTGCTTACCGTTTGGCTTAAGCACAGCTCCATACGTTTTTACTAAAATATTAAAACCTGTAATAGAACATCTACGTTCTATGAATATGATATCTGTAGTATATCTAGACGATATTTTCCTTATTGGATTAGATTATAGTGATTGCAATCAGAATATAAAACAAACTTGTTCATTATTAGAAAAGTTAGGGTTTATTATAAATATAGATAAAAGCAAGTTAATTCCCAAAACACGCTGCAAATTTTTGGGTTTTATCTTCGATTCTTTAAAAATGATACTAGAATTACCTATAGATAAAAAAGAAAAAATTAAACGAGTTATACAAAATTGTTTAAGTAGAAATAGTAAATATAAATTACGTGAATTTGCAAGAATACTTGGTCTTTTAGTATCAGCTTGTCCGGCGTTACAATTTTCATGGATGCATACAAAATTATTCGAACAATTTAAATACAACACTCTATTGAAAAATGATAGTTACAATCAGACCGTTAAATTGCCACAATTTATAAGGGAAGATCTCAAATGGTGGGTTAATCACATAGATCTTAGTTATTCTCCGATCAAAAGTAATAATTATGTGAAAGAAATTTATACTGATGCTTCCTTAACCGGTTGGGGTGCCTACTGTAATGGTAAAAAATCGTACGGTCATTGGAAAAAAGAGGAAATAAAATTACATATAAACCAGTTAGAATTAAAAGCAGCCTATTTCGGTCTAAAGGTTTTTGCTAATCATTGTTCTGACTGTGAGGTGTTATTGAGAATTGACAATGTTACTGCAATTTCATGCATTAATAGAATGGGCAGCGTTCAGTATCCTCATCTCAATAATGAAACACGAAATCTTTGGAAATGGTGTGAAAGGCGTCGTGTAATGGTTTTTGCATCCTACATTAATACTAAGGATAACAAAGAAGCCGATTTTTTATCTAGGAAAAAATTTAAGGAAACTGAATGGGAATTAGATAACAGTGCATTTGTGAAAATAAAACAAAAATTTGGTCCGCCAGAGGTGGATTTATTTGCTAGTCGTTGCAATGCTAAATGTGATATATATGTCACCTGGAAAAATGAACCCGATTCATGGGCCATTGATGCCTTTACTATCTCGTGGACAGACTTAAAATTTTACGCCTTCCCGCCATTTTCAATGGTATTAAAAATGATCCAAAAAATAATATCTGACAAGGCAGAAGGTATAGTTGTTGTCCCATACTGGCCGACCCAGGCTTGGTATCCATTATTTTCGAGAATATGTCAGTCTGAAATTATAATTTTTTCGCCTAATAAGAACTTATTGAAATCTCCTTACAGGTCAGGCCACAATCTGCACCTCACTCTGACACTAGCTGCCGCGAGATTATCCGGCAAACTCTATTAAAGAAAGCCTTATCGCCGAGGTCCGTTGAAATAATGTTAGCATCCTTGTCAAATAACACTTACAAACAGTATGACGGATGCATAAAAAATTGGTTAAATTATTGTTCAAAAAATAATTATGATTACTCAATTGGATCTATACCAATAATAATTCATTTTCTTACAGAAATATTTGACAAGGGTGCCAAGTACGGGACAATCAACTCTTATAAATCTGCTCTGTCTCTACTATTGGGAAAAAATCTCGATGATGATAGACTTAAGCGTTTCATGAAGGGTATTTTTAAATTAAGACCAAGTACTCCCAAATATAATATGACATGGGATCCCAATATTGTCTTACAATTTTTGTCACAAAAATGGCCTAATGAAAGTCTTGATTTAAAAACCCTTTCTGAAAAAACCGTAACCTTACTTGCCTTGGTTACTGCTCATCGTGTACAAACACTATCTTTGATTAAAACTAATAATATTTTTACAAATCAAAAGGAAATAATAATAAAAATACCGGACATGATAAAAACAACAAAATTAAATTCTCCACAACCTCTTTTAAGATTACCTTTTTATAATAATTGTCCAGAAATCTGTCCGGCAAGATGCCTACAAACCTATATAGATAAAACTAAATTATTGCGTTCAAATGTTACTAATAGTAATTTATTTATTAGTTATAAGAAACCACACTCTAAAATTGGTTCCCAAACTATTAGTAATTGGTTAAAAAAGACTTTGCAAGAGAGTGGTATAGATATAACAATATTCAGTGCTCACAGTACACGACATGCGAGCACATCTAAGGCAAATAAATTAGGCGTTAATATTGAAATAATTAAAAGAACTGCTGGGTGGTCTGATTCATCATCCGCTTTCGCTCAATTTTATAATAAAGATATCATAAACAACAATTGTTTTGCTGAATCAATCCTTGATTCATGTAATAATGATACTCAATAAGTAGATTATTTAATATTTGTATTCTTCGATCAATAAATGATTATTATGTGATTATAATTAGTCTGTTTCTTGAGTAACACCCTAATTTTAAGGTTGTTTATTTTATAATCTCTGCTATAAACATCCTACACCTTGTTGAACCAAAATCGCAAAGAATGAAGCTGCGAAACATAATTGAAGATCAAACGAACTTACCAAGTGAAGTTCGATCATAATTATGTGAGCAGCTTCATTCGAAGCGATTTATAAACACCCGCCCTTAACCCTACCCAATAACAGATTATAAAATAAATAATTATCTTTGTCTTTAAACAGAATGACGAACATGAAAGTCTGAGCGTCCCTCTATGAGTATGGAGGGGGTAGTGTTGCCAGTAATTTGACAATGAAATTGTTAATAATAAATTAATTTTTAAAATTAATTAAATAAAAAACTTTTAACTTATCGTGCGAGGCTTACAGTAGATGGCGCTACTACACCTTGTTGAACCAAAATCGCTTCGAATGAAGCTGCTCACATAATTATGATCGAACTTCACTTGGTAAGTTCGTTTGATCTTCAATTATTTAGTTGTTATTGTGCCGTATTTGTTAATATTACCCATAAAAAAAGACTAGAAATACTAATTGCTGTGCTAATAGTAAGCTGTTTAATATAAATTTTGCTGTTATAATTAGTAATCATATGGGGTTTATCGAATACATTTATTTTTTTCCTTCGTAGGATATACTTCTACCTATTCGTATAGGCTGCGTGTCTGGACAGTATGGATGAGCTATATTTTCTATGAACCTAATGTGATGATTCGTCATTCATTAGTTTCAAAAAAATCCCAAGTCAGTAGGTAGGGTAGGTACTCGACTCCTGATAAATCGGGCCGAGAGATGAAAACAAGATGAGTGGGAGCGAGATGGCGAGAAGATTAACGCAGCGAGATGACAGCGAGCGAGTGGGACAAACAACAGGTGAATGAGGGGTCACGATTCATGATGAGCGTCGACGAGGGGAAGCGGGGCAATGCATAACCGACTCGATCTCCCTTCCCTTCGCCTCGCGTTCTTTCTTTTTTACTCAGTCGTTTTGAATGCGGGCCGTGGGTCGGTCGCTTTCGTTCGTTGCAGTGTAAATAAAGAAAATTAAAGTCCTCGTGTGACTTGTGAACTTGTTGTGTGATTCATTAGTTCAACATAGTGCTATCACGATGGGATGTGGAACGAGTTTTGTGAAATATGTGCTATTTTTCTTCAATCTGGTCGTTGCGGTGAGTTGAAAATCTAAAAGGGCGAGATGGAAGGAACCGGTTTATTGTCACGGTAGGCGGCTAGGCTGGTCAGCGGACAGTGAAGCTTGCCCTACGTGTCTAAGTGTTTATGAAATTGTTTATTCCCTTAGGAATTACAACATAAATAGTGTGAATTGAAAATAATGTTAAAACTACAGTGCAATAACATATCATCTTAGTAATTGTATTTATAGTGTTGAGAATCGTAACGGCCACTAGAAATTTAGCTAGATAAATATCGAGAAATGAGATGAGTACGTTTAACGACGTATCTCTAAATAAATGCGTTTTCCATTAGAGAATTTAAACAACAGCTAAGCTTTTCCTAACCTTCTACCTTATTTTGAATCTTCAATTTGTACACGTTGTAGGACATACATTATCTTTGTTTTCAAAATATGAATAGAATTTGGTATACTCGAAAATGTTAAGTAATATTATTGATACAATCAGAGAATAGTAGCATTTCGCGGACCGTCCGAAACAAGATCATAATAAATTGTGCCGCTAACAACATTTTATATCTCGTCTACATAGGTGTATATTCGAATCCGCAATTATACCACATGGTTTGGAGCTTGGGGTGCTTCCAAAAGTCATAGTCTCGATTGTTCTCAATTCTATTGGCATAATTCAGGGACAACTTGATAATCATACATAACTTACGTTTCATGCATTGTTTTTATTGCATAATTTTTATTTTGCGTGCATAACATTTTAAAGGTTGAATTTATACATAATCATTTCGGGTGACATAATTTATTACACCGCTTTAATAGTAAATAAATATGATAAAAAATTTCCATATATTTACACCCACAGTTTACACCTTACCAACTTCAATCGTTTTTTTAAACTACATTCCACCTACCTACATTTAGGTTCTTTTTTACAGAAACTCTTTTGTTGATCCATGCAATTTGTAAATCAAATACCTATCTGCTATCTGCCCATTAAATTTTCTTTTTCCTCTAACATGTATAGTCAAGGAGTTTGGCGCTCTGCCACCTTTAGGCGATAATCCCTTACACTCGATATTTGTAGTTTGTAGAAATATCACTACTATTACGGATGGAAATTATACTTTTATTAGCGACTTGGCCCGGGATTCTCACTCGGTAGGGTTTTTCCCAAAATCTTCAACGTCATTATACTTAAGCTGATTTTCTCAAAACTATAAGGAATGTACACACTGTTGCATGTCAATTTACCATAATATGTCAAACTTTTCCGTTGGATTTTGACCTCTACCCTCAATACATGAAGGTTTAAAATCGAGCTGGGAAATTCGATAGTTTTGTGAAATTCTCAAGGAAATCAAATGTGTTTTTTGAGTTTATCACAATCATACAGACGCGCCCACGGACGGAATTTGTTTTTAGTGAAATAATTTTGATAACTGAAGTTCCTTAGAACCTGCGATTTTTGCTTTATCTGGTTAGCATTGAAATGTGTATAACAATTAAATAAATTGTACTTCGTTTATATTGTAAAGTAACAGTGGACGAATATGTAAGGCTCTTTTCAAGAGCTAGCGTGCATTGATGACTTGTCTGTTTTATCGTTTTCATCTATTCCATAGAAGTCCAATTGTTACGTGTTCAAGCGTGACACCGAAACAAGGACAGTAAACAGAAATGTTGATGACTAAAACCAGTGTGTACTATCGCTTACAATAAAGTTTTTTCTGGTTAGATTCCTTAAATCATGAAACAGTGATAAACGATGAAAATCAGATTGAGCTGTAGCTCACAATCTGAAGAACGTTAACATTTGCCACGTCTGACTTTATGAACTTCATGTGATTTAATCAATGACATAGTAGATACTTGAGAAATGGTTAATGTCTACGATATTTGCTCAGTCACCCATAGTACGTAGATCTACTCGTAATATTTCTCTCGTACTCGTAATAGCGATATTTACTTCATCAGAAATATGAAAAGAATTTTGTCTGTCAAGTAGTACAGCGTTAATTTCCTCAACTATACACTGGTTTCAGTCATAATAAACAGGATGTTATTATCCTTTTTCTTTTGTTTCAACAAATAAACGCATGGTCAACCTATTTGAAAGACACGATTGTTTTTTGTGTTGGGTAAAGTTAAAGAAACATAAAACACACAAAAAACATAGGTGAGTTCACATAGTTCAATCATGGATATCCGGAATCGGATCATTTGGGTAAATACGATTCTGGTGCTGTGTTCTGTGTGTGATGACGATTGATTTTGGCGAGCCGTCTCATTTACTGAGAATTTACTGTGTCGTCACCAGTTTTAGTTGTTCGCTCATTAGAGGCGTAAATAAACAGCAATACGATAAAATTAAAATTAGTCACGGCTGTTGCATACGCTTGGTGTCATGTTTGCGTTCTAATGAATGATTAAGAAATATCTGACGGTTTTTCCGAAAATATCGTTGACTGAAGTGTCAATAAATAATGACATCACTCGTCATCTGTGAGCTGTGGATCCAATGTTTGTCTGTTGTGTCATAATTTTAAAAAGACTCCTTGGTGACACCATTGATACTATCTTATAGTATTTACGGGTCATAATAATCACGATGGCCTTCCTCCAGACTTCTGACTTCACCCCCGAAGCCTCTAGCTAGTCAGATTACTTAAAAATGCCGAATTGTAATCAATACTGAACTTAAATATAATTCTTAAATGACTTAAAATAGATTGAACTTATTCTTTGTAAAACTATAAAAAAATTTATTGATATAAGCATACATATTTTAAACAATAGACGTCATTATTGTTTCTAATGTTCGTTAATAGATCAGTACCAAAATGTGAGTATCCATTGTGATCTGACATACTCACATATTTATGAGAAGGATTATCCCACTTTCCAACGCAGTGACAAACCTAGCTATTGGGTGTTGTTCACTATATTATAACAGTGGGTATATTAATGCTTACTAAAACACACGCAAATTCTTTATGAGTTTGTGTGCACCTAAGATTCGCAACAAAATCAGAATATCCTGCCGCCTTTTGTATAGTCGAGAGCCTGTAAGGTTACAAACAAAGGTCTCTAATTAATTTTTTCCTTATTTTGTTAATAAAATTTAGTCCAAAGACTTTTCGTAGTAACCGAAGCTGCTGCTTTGTATTATTTAATCTAAACTAAGAATATGCTTTACGTATTTTATGTGTAATAAAAGCTATTCTATTAACGTCAAAGACAATTAGTGTGACAAATTTATTGTTATGTTGTTATAAATAATACTACCTATAATTATTACGAATTTGCACTAACCAGGACACTAAATATATTTGAACCAACATAAAGTTTGGCAAATGATCTTGCTTAAGTTTTAGCTATGATACGTAATGAAACTGAAATTAGCAGCTACCAGCTGACAGCCGCAGCACAGAGAGGTATTTGGCCCTAAAAGTCGGACAAAAATATTTCTTGCGTTTTATAGGTACCGTGTTTTATTACAGATATCAAGGACAATCAGTAAATCACTGACCGCTGAGTTAAGTCATTTTAAATTTAGCTTACGCTCATTAAGTGATTGATGAGAAAATTCACTGCAAAAAAGACAAGATCTAATGGTTGATGAATTCGCATGGCATTTACATTGCTTACTAATTTACGCTAATATTAATATACCCGATAGTTTGATATGTAATCAAAGGTATTCAGAACGCATAGTGATTCTAATGTCAAGAGACTCGTTTTTTTTAAAATGCTCTGGACATCAAGCTAGGTGTTTACGTGTTAAAATAAACGAAACACGTGCATATAAGTGTTACCCGTATATTGGCATACGGCCAAAATAATAGTTTACAAACGCGGTTATAGATCCTGAAGATTTAATAAATATATATTTTTTTTAATGACGCTTAAACCGATTCACAAATTTTTTGGTCTTTATAAGGTATATTGACTTTTTCAATGACAGAAGACAAGCTTGATTAATTCAGTTTAAGTCGTTCCAATCAATTTTTTCACGTGTACTTCTTTGTATGAAATAAAACTTCCTGAATTTCTAATCGTAGATCTGCGAACAGATATTTAGAGAGGTAGTACTTATAACGGATTAAATCGTATTAAATATGAATCCATGATCTGCTGCATCAAGATATACTTATATTCTATCAGAAAAGAAACTAGCTCGGATGCGAGAAAGTAAGCTCTTAAGTGGTATATTATCTAGTTGGCTGTATACTAAAGGGTGTAATACATATAATTTCGTAACATTCTTTTTATTGTCTCGTGTTTTTTGTTTTTTTTTTTCCCAAGGTGTTCTAGGACCCATCTTTTTGCAAGTTCAGTAAATTACCGTCAATGTAATGTAATACCTATATTCCAACAGAAGTTAGCATTCATTTTACCTTATACTTTGTCATGAAAAGGACAGATAAATAAGTGATTCGCATTTTACTATAAACTTTTAGTCTAATCATTGTTATAAATATATAATTTTGCTAAGCCATTTATTAAGAGTAATAAAGCAGAAAGAAGCACAGTTAAATATTATTGATACATAACATGAACGTACGTGGACTACGTGCTTCAATCTCAATTCTTGTTTGAGTACATTTAAAATAGTTTTCAATGTGGTCATTTTACGTTTCGTGCTTTTTGTAACGTAATAATAATGTCTTTATGCAAATTTATAAAGATTTCTACCTTTGTTAAATTAGAAAAGGTTACAAAGAAGTCAAATTGTATTTTGTATGCCACACATATTTAGACTAGAAGAATAGGCGAATACTACCATTTAAAAAAATTTAAATGAATGAAACGCTACATTAAAGTGGCTTAAGAGGGCGCCTAAACAAAAAAAAAACAACTTTTACTGAAAATGAGAATATTACCTCATATAATGTAAGAGATTAGGTAAAAAACATTTACTTCATAGATAATATTATAAAAATACTCCATTTTTTGCGAGTCACTGTATTCGAGGATTATGAATTCTTACAGCAACGATATTCATAATAATTTGCAGGT